GTAGGTAATGGTCGCGCCGTCCACCTCGGTATAGTATATGTACAGACTCAAGTTACATTCATTGCTACTATCCGCCTACAATGATGTTGAGCCAATGCAAGAAGGTGCTGCCATTTTGTACTTTTCTTGTGTGATTTTCCCCAACCTACAGTGCTAGGACGGGCTTCGTGACACGGACGCGATCAGCTCACATCCCCCCCTTCAACTCAATGGAACCACATAAATATAACCTCTCTTCCTACTTGAAATTTTGCTACCTAACCATGCGGAGGTATGTCATCACAACTTCATAATGCTTACGGTATCACGCAGTTCGAAGGTAACCCATCAAACGCTAATATCACTAACGCGCTCAATTGCACGCAACGCTGCATCCAAGAAAATACATGTATATCACGATAAAAACATCATTACCGGGTCGCTTCACTGCGCTAGATACGGTCTAAGCCAGCATTATCACCTCACCATCATCTGCAGCTATCATGGATTGCAGAACGAAATTTGTTTGTCGAGTATGCGAATTCAATACCTAAGGCTGGACTCCATGGTGGTGATAACGACCTACCACTAGTATCATAACATACACTATAGTGCACGCTAGCTGATAAATTCCTAGACAAGTTGAGAGCTGCTTGAAAACCCAAAGATTAGTGCCCTAATAGCAGAGAAGCTTCTTGATTGGACTCGGCGTTGGCACAACCTCGTATTTCACCGCGGTACTCTGATCTTCATTGAAGGGTATAGTATTGCCCGTGGATCTCAGCGCAACACACCTTGCGTATTGTGCTTACCTGCCAAAGATTATTCGCAAAAGGTGATGCACATGGTATCTTCTGCCCTTCAGTCTCTCTGTGTGGCTTAGAGCGCGGTTTGGATGGCTGAGGGGGTTCATATTAAGCGTACTTTAGTAATTTTGATCCACGATATAGCTATAGATATAGCTATACCAACCATGTTAGACACTTGCAGGATGTCCCGCTATCAAACCAAAAAGTTGGGTAGCTTTCTGTCCATGATAAAGCACTTGTACATACGTCACAATTCTCGAGAAACTGACCGCCTTATTCACCCAACCTTGATGCAATCGAGTACCTCTGGCAAGTTATAAAGCGCGAGGCGTATTGAATAAATCCAAATATCAGTACTGTCAGAATAACAGAAAGCTGGGCGTAGTTTGAAGCTTGCTTGAACGAGGCCCGGGTAGCTATATTTGATCCCGTTGATCTATATGCCCATCGCCTCCATGCTACACTGCCTTGTAGCCTATAAAATTTAAAGGGGCTATGAAACCACGTAGGTGATACAACACGATTCTCTTGTCTACAATGCTTCGGAATCGTATTTTTGCGCTTTCGTAGCGCTATTAAGCGAACAGATTGCTGTGCCCGCTCGTAGGAAGCCAATGCTTCCAGCAGATCAGCCGACGCAACTTGTGTTGCATTACCAAAATAGAGACATAAGTATCTCATCGAACTCCTAAAAATACCACCACCATGGAGTTTCGATCGAAGCGCTTAATCAATCGATTTGCACGACTCAGAAGGTAAGTTTCTGTATCGCGCAGCTGCAGAGAGGATTTGGTTTTGCAACTAGTGATCTGCTTAGCTACAGTAGTTGACCGTAGTTCCTCCATGTAGTAACCCATGAGACCTATTTGATAATCTCGATTGTCACTAATCGAATGAAAACTGGTCATCCTGTCTATTCATAGCTATGAGATGGTAGATGACTTTTGTGTTTTCCTTCTCTATTAATGCAGGTCTTCCTGCGCTTCCTGCGATTTTTAATGCCAACCGTGCAAGACACCATCGGGAAGGGCTGCCTCCCAGCGGTGGCTCCTTGCTCCTCTTCTTCCTTGCCCGAGGTGCTCACAGGTCGCGTTCTGGCGTTGAGAACGTGACGCCGAATGGTTCGTATTTGTGATCATGAAACTCATAGTGCAAGAATCTTCATGTACATGAGCTTCTATAGGATCTTTCCGCTGCTGAATGAGCATATATTTCGAGTCTCCACTAACGCCATGTTTCTCGGTCCCAGGCTGCCAGAAGAAGCGCAGGTGAAACTATGAGAAATACCCAAGCTATATCTACTTGTAACCCTGCTTTTTCGACAAGGCGAAAGAAGAGAGTAGATACCATAGCGGAAGCAATCTGTGACACGCATATTGCAGCGTTGTGAATTGTCAAGATGGCCGTCGCTCCATCCAGTTCATCGTGAACGCGCGGGAAGCCGAGCGACTCGGTTTCTTCACTCTTGGGACGCCTATTTTCTATCGCCAGATCAATGCCGAGGAGGGCGTACGGGGCCCAGTTGAACATAGCAAAATAGGTACCCATGGATGTAATAAGCAATGCTGCTGCACTATCCACACCGGCAAAGATTGAGACTGCCGCAAACGAGAAAGCACTAGCAACCAGGACAAGGGACCAAGCACGGAACAATAGCGTCCCATACTCCTTGACGTCGCTGTCGTCAACGACTGTCATAGAGACTTCCCGGATGTGTGGATAACATGGTTTTGACTGCCCTTTGAACAACATTTGTAGCATGATTGTCGTTGTAAGGACTGCGCAGTGGAACACAAGAATAGCACCGGCACTCGCTGCCTCCGCCTCCTCATTGTGAGAGGAACGGCCGTGTCTCGCAGCACTTAATGTGTCTGGAGATAGAATTAGCTCAGCTTCCAAGCAGCCAGCTTCTTTTTTCAGGCTATACTAGCGTGATTAATGCGCTGAGGGAATGGAGTGTGTAACATACATGATTGAGATACTACGCTGTAAAACATCATTCTCAACGTTAGCTATCGTATCTCATAAACTGACAAAGGCAATGAAATGAGATGAATACTCCAAGTAGTATAGTAACGAAGCGACTGACGTACCTGCCCATGTAAAACAGCGCGGGAAACCAAGCAAACCATGACAACAACTGGATGCGGCATACTCGACGAGTGATATTAGGCAGTTGTGTTGACAAAATGGCGATTTGGCGTATTCGCGAGGCAAAAGACCGAAACATCCACATGCCTAGCTTCCAACTTTGCCTTTGCTGAGTTGCGTAATAGCGCCGAGCCTCTAGCGTATGTAGAACAAGAAGCGAGGAGAGTGCCGAGCAGCAAAATATCGAAAGAGGTTTGAATGAAGGCGTCGAAAAGAAGGCGATGGAAGTAACAAGAACAGATCCAGTTGCAGAGAACCTCATTACCCATAGACTTGCTGTGGCCTGCTGCTGGGGCTGACAAATGTCCATGAGTAGCGCACGTAAGCTGATATGAAGTGGTTGCATAGCTGCGTTCAATGCATAGACGGCAGAGGCGGCAACGAATTTCGCACCCGATACCGTGGCTGCATCCGATTTGGTATCGAATATTCGCATAAGTAGAAAGCTTATTTCTTGCGCCCATGCAAAGCTCAACAACGCCATCATAACTCCTAAACCTCCCCAGATGATGGAAGACCTTCGGGATCCATCGCCCACTGCGGCTAGTATGACTGGAATAACCAGTCCACTAATAGGCCCCGCCAGTAATGTCAGCGTAATTTCACTGTTTGTGAAACCGATAGCGAGAAGATGGGGCTTTTTTCGTTTGTCAGATATTGCAATGTGATATAGTAGTTTTGGAGAGAGCTGTAAGATCCTAGAGTACGTACTATTCCAAAAGCTTGCTGTATAACCCAAATAACTTGAATCCTAGTTCAATAGTTAGTCACTTAGTGCCTTAACTTTTAATTTCTTAATATACCCAACAAAAGGACATGTAAGTAAAAGTAAACTTCTCCCCGTTAGTTGTCTTCTATAGCCATGTTGGTACTCAAGTGGTTGGTATGGTGGTGAACTCCGAATCGACAGAGTGGTAGATGTTCGATCAAGATCAATCATACTACTCGATCGGCGATGGATGTTTAATGTTCAATGCTGAAGGATGGATGGTATCACAGAATCTTTCAAGACGCGATAGAACAGTGCTGATGTGACACTACAGTGCTTTTAAAGAATATTCCGACTTGAGATATTTAGAGTTAATTTGTGTTAGTAAGCCCTATTGACACTACCTATGAAATGTCTCCATGGCTATCGGAAAGCTATGCAAACAGCCGCGTGAGAACAGCACTCCGGAATCGGGTAACATCTCTTTATGTATACAGGAAAATCCGGTGAGCCGAACCAGCCGATCCAGTACAGCTCCGCGCAGGAAATCTTGCTGACCATGCGCTCGTGCTGGCTGTTTTCATCACATAGGAAGAGATGTCATCAAGACGAACAGGAATTTGGACAGTGCCTAGGGTGTGATCTTTAATCCAACACCCCTAGCTACATCAAAACAAGATAGTCAAAAACGGGAAATGCTTCGGTAAGACAGTTTTTGTGTGATATGGTTATGTAAATTCAGAAGTCTCAGCACGATAGCTCTACAAATCTATCTTTATGCAGCATTTCTCAGTGATTGGGGTAGATTCGACGCAATGGTACAGTACAAGAAACGAACAGTAGATTCATATAAGCAAATACATTCTTTCCAAACGCAGGCTTATTCCATGCTGATATACTTTTGAATTCACGTTATGTATACTACAAAGTTCGTATAGAGCTACAAGATCACTTTTCTTCATCCATACTGTGGTTTTTGACTGCATACAAAGTTCAAATGATCTTAGTAAAATTAGATAGCTAAGATTTATAGTGATCTACTCATATGCACAAAATCAAAAGCGATTTGCCGCGATGTCAAGAAAAATATTCTGCCTACATAACTTGTGTAGTTGGTTTACGAGATAGAGAGCAGAATGGGGAACAATCGATCTGTTGATTCGCTTGACTGAAATTTGATTGATCCGTTGAATTCAATCAATCGAATTGAGGAGTCGCTGGGCCCTCAATCAATTAATCTTCTTCAGCAGAGCTCGATCGATTGAATCGACTGGCTCTTTAAATCAGGCGATGTCTAGCGTAAGTAACAGTTTTATAAGACTCTACAATTACAGGCGATTGTTTGCTCGGGCCCAATGGCTACTGTAGCTGAACTTCAATGAAATTGACCTTGCTCCACACAAGTAGATAGAGGCACCGAACGGGCCAGCGCCGGATCTGCCCAACTACACTACTATAAATTTCAAGCTGTACAAGTCTATTAAGAAGCTGTTGTCACGAGATATCTTAGTATGATAATCTAGCAATATTACCAATCTACTATATGTGTTAATATTTGGCTGGTAGCTTGGTAGGGCGGCCTGAACGCGAGCGTGGTGTTAGCGGTGCTGCTAATCGATTGGCTGGTTACGCATTACCACCGCCGCCACTAGTGATAATATTTCCTGATAATGGCTTGATAAGTCGCTTGAAGGTGGCTTTTTTGTTTACTTGTGAGTTTTTGATAGCTTTTTGAAGTTGTTGTGGGCGGCTTGGCGAGCTATTCGGTGGGTATCTTTCTTAGCTCTAGCTAGTTTTACGTCTGCTCGCGCCCGCCGCTGCGCATCTAGTTCTTGAGCTTTGAGTAGCTTTCTCTCCTTTTTAGCTTAGATTGTGATAGATTTTCGGCGTTGCAACGCCTCCTAATCGCGCTGTTTTTGCTCTAAAATTAATAGCTCTTACTGTTAGTGTGCTTTTGCGTATGGTTGTTGGCCTGCCAGTCTGTCCTGCAGCGCTAATTGCCGAACCTCGTGCCAGCGAGCAGCGGCCAGTTGATTCTTGAATGTGTTAAAATTAAGGTCTACTATACTATCTTGTAAAGAAAGCTTCGATGAAGCTATGTTGAAAGTAGGGTACTAATGCAGATCGCGATTGCGAACTGTGTGACTACTCTGAGTGAGGTGGCCGGAAACCATATGCATAAGCTTAAGGTAGTGGAAATGAATAGCAGTAGTGATAACATGCTACATCCCGCAAATCTTCTAGACAGTATAGGTGTGTGCGCACAGATATGCCATTACATCTACCTTCTAAAGCTATCAACTTAGAGACCATGGCTCAGAAACCAGTTTCGACCCCGATGTTGTCCTCTAGTTGCAAGCATGCTCGCTTCGGATCTGTCCGTACCGAGCATCGTACCGAGCGCTACATCCCGCACCGCACCCAGTCCTCATATGCCGGTAGAAGTGTTTTTATAGTCAAGTATAATCTTTAGGCTTTAGATGTTGGTTCACCAAACCTTTCAAGAACAAAAACGAACGCCACTATGCCGTATCGCGTAGGTCAGAGTCTGCGAGAAATATTCCAGGTTAGTTTGAACAAATACACACCAATTCTTTCGCTACAACCTTCAGAGTCGTGAGTTATGCTGATACAAGTCTCCATGGGTTAGAAAAGGCCACATCAGGCATCATATCGGAGCGTCCCTTCCATCGACACGTGTAACGGATCCCAGGATGAAATAACCAACGGCCAGTGCGGCTGTAGCTCTAAGCGCAGTTCTGAAAATTTGAAAGCTATCGCGGGCTTTTTCGTAGGACTTATTTTTGCAATCAGTTTGGCTGTTGCAGTGCTCTGGTCACAATTAGCGGCAGCTAATACTTCAACATATACCGACGACTTAAAGTCAACATCTATGCTCAATTTTGGCTTACACGCACCCGAAATCTATCTCTCGGACACGATAGATCCTCCACCACTCTTGAACAAAAGCTGTGGAAATTCGGTGGCCGAGGCAAGACAGGCTGGATGTGTGTTCGATATCCTAACAACCGCATGGACACCGGCGGACTGCGTCAACTCTGGAATCACCGAAGAATTCCTCAATATCAGCACAAACGGCGTTTGGCCATATTACCATGACAAAAATGGAAAATTTCCTCAAAAAGACATAGCTATACTCAAGTCTGGAGAGTGGGAGGGCGAGTTGTGGTCAACAATGCGACTACATAGATATCATTGCTTATTTACCTGGAGGCGCATGCACATAGCTTACAACGGCGGACAGCCCGCCGACACAGTTATTCGAGGCCTTCGTCACACCAAGCATTGTGAGAAAATGTTAATGAATGGAGTTGATCCTGATAAGGTGACGGGGGTACAGTCTGTGTATTACAGAAGTTGCTAAGGGTACACGGACAGGTTTGTTCAGAAAGGCGCAAGATTTCGACATCATATGGCTTCAATCGTAAACTCGATAGTGTATATCCCAAAAGATCTATATAGCGTTGATTTTTATTGTTCCATCGGGGAATCAATTATGGCGCTGTTGTGATTACCGGTATTGCGCTATTGACTTCGGCAGACTTTCCGAGTTCGAAGGACAAGCCGGTTCTTCGAATCTCAGAACGTGTCCTCATATCCGACAATCTCCCAGTTAGAAAAAAAAACTTCCTTTAAGTATTCGTAGCACTGCTTGTAGACACCCGATAATTGGTCCATTATCCTCTCGTTTAAAGTATACCAAACCTATCCTTATCTTCTCAAGTGTACTACAACCTGCCCAGACTAGCTCAGAAAGTCACGATGGGCTACATACAGATTCTCTGGACAGGTATCACGTTAGCAGGACTAGTTGTACTCTCCCTCCGGGACATCGGTGGCCAAAATACGAAAAGCTACTCCATCGCGGTCGTGGACGCTCCCAAGGAATTGACTGGAACAGATGACGCACCTATGTTACCAACGATTACTACGGCAGTAACAAAGCCCAAGAAAATACACTACAGCGTGAACTGGGCTGGAGCTGTCAATTCTTCACCTCCATCTGGGCGATTTGCGGCTGTGAAGATGAATCTAACGTTACCCAAAACTCTTGGACCAGATTATTTTCAGCCAAACAATGAATATTACGCGGCTAATGCCTGGCTTGGGATCGATGGATGGTCTCACCGTACCGCTTTGTTACAAGCTGGAATTGTCATGGAAGTAAACAAGAGTATTTCCGAGGAGCTTGTCTTCAGGCCGTGGTACGAATGGTGGCCCAAAGAAGCTATGTTCTTCGATATTCCAATGGGGCCTGGCGATGATATACAAATTGAAGTCGTAATGTTCAACGCAACGTACGGAAAGATCATCTTAGAGAACTTATCCCGAGGGGAATGGGTCGCACGAAAGTTGAAGTCGCCGTACCCTGATGCAGGCCTGGTTGGCAGCAGCGTAGAATGGATCATGGAAGACTTTGCGCTTGCTGTGGGCGGAAATGTACCCTTCGGCAACTTCGGCATGATTCAGTTGAGAGATTGCACTGCATATACAAGCGAAAATGACATGGTTACTCCCGATCCAAGCCAGTCATTTTGGATTCGCCAAAAGAATATTACACGTGCGCGCTCAACAGTCAGTGGCAGCTTGGTTACTATAGAGTACAACCGCCCAAGTATATGAACTAAGATGCAGCAGTCAATGGATAATTTTATACAACTACTGGGTTACTCAGCCCCAAAGTCTGTCGCAAACTATCTCTGCCATGCCTAAATCTGATAATAGAAAGCCTATGTATAAGGAAAGATGGTGGTGTTGCAAAAGCTCACTCAAGCAATGCGCCTACCCCCTCAAGCTAACATTAAGAAGTATATGACTACCTATAACCTGCCATACCAGCGCCTGCGACGCGCCTGTATGAAATTAACATACCGCTACAATCGCATTAGGCTGTCCGGTTCATATCGGCTCAATGAATCTCAGTGCCTCGCCTGTAAGCGGTATGCTGATGCTATCGACAATATCGGCTTTGCTATTCAATGTGAACTACTTGAACAGCAAGCTGACTTGTTCCTTGACGATGTTTAGAGGATTTGATGAAGTTCGGCTTGAGATTGGCAAGCTTTGGGCACGATGATGGCTTGCAAGGCACTCACAATATAGGCGTGTAAAGAGAAAGTTGATTGAGGTACAGCGTAAGCTTGCCCAAGAGCCAGCAACGCTCTTTGACTGATACACCAGTCTTAAAAACATCGGTGATGAGCGAGGTGTCTTGCTTGAAGGCATATTGTGGCACGATAAAGATCGAGCGCAAAAAGATCAAGGGGTGACACGCAATCAGGTCGTCACATAGCAATCGCTAGTAATAAATTGAGTAAATGTGTTTATCTGCGCTGGAAGCAAATTCCAATATATACGCGCAGTCTGATCACATGCCACTACACCGCAATACATAATATGAATGAAACAGGTTGCTGGGTTCATTTTACAAAAGAATAGCCAGAATATGGAAATTTTTGATGTGTAGAATCTAGATATATACAGGAATGATATTAGATGGGTGAGGCGGACCGGAGAGGTTTTGAGCGATGAACTAAGCCAGATCATACACATTGCAACACAAAGTTGTATCTACTACTAGTAGGACGCATAGTAGGCAGTCTATCAGAGAGATTTGGAACGTATTATGCCCGATTAGAATACTTCAACTTTTGGAAATATCATGTATAGGACTGAATACAAGCACAGAAGTCTAGGTCGGAAGCTCCCACTTTCTACATCGCGATGGCACAAGAGACTAAAATGGGCACTTAAACACACTTGACAAACACTAGAATGATTGTGGGCTTGGTTTTGATTTTGTGATTGTTGTTTTTACTAACAAGACTTCAGCACGGGTTGGAGAAGGGCATGTAATAATACGAAGATGAGTGCGCGATGATGGGTCCATGTTTGTTACAAGTAACAAGAAGGATACCCACTCTGCGGAAGACGAGTGGTCAAGGTTCGACATCCACCCACATCAGAAAGCAACGATCATCGTGGGGCGATGATCATGTGACCTGGCAACCCGCCAAGGATGGGGTGCCATGACGATATGGGATGCCAGGGTGTTCAGCATCCTACAGTCGGTAAGAAAAATCATTGAAAACGAGAGCAATAGAAATCTAATGGAAAATCCAGAGAAGCCACTGTGTTGATGGATCACTAAATGATTGAGAAGTTCGGTCTTTTTTTAGCTTGTCAAATAGTGTCAGTATCGCGATGCTCTAGTCCTCATATAGGTGCACATCAAAAATGGCCAAGTTGCCATACAGACTTCGCTGATGTCGACTCATTAAGAATGAGCACCTTTGTTTTGTAGTTTCCCTAACAAGTAATTACTCAAGTTTGTTCTGCATGTTATTTGGTTGCTAGACGACTACTTCTCGAAACGGCGCGAAGAAATTAGGGCATCGTGATGGCGCTCCTTACTATTCGCAGCGTATGCCTCGTCCTCACACTGCCACACACTTAATCAATGCTTTTGTAGTTAAACGGGTCTCGATTTCATAATTCTCCAGAGAAAAATATCTCTGATTTGCAGCAGGAGCGCGCATAATGATTGACCGGTTCGCTGATTCGTCTTCGATTTCAATCCTCGTAAGACTTTTAAAGTACTTAAATTAGAATAGCGGCCCGACCCAGTAGGTAAGTTCATTAATTCAGCTTCGGTTCGGACACCTGAGCGATAGGACAAGATAGTGGTGGACATCCGGATCATGGTGATTTGCCAAGATGTGTCGAGGCTCGGGCCATATGTTTTAACCGTAGCCGTAGCCGTAGCTGTAGCCGTAACCGTAACCGTGACCGAAAACACCGAGCATTGTGTGTGAAAACCTCTTGATCGACCGGTGAAACCGGATACTATCCGAAAACTAGCGGGTTCGCCTGACAAAATTTATGTATCGCCTCCAGTGCAACTGACAGTAGACGACGCTTCAGCCGCCGAATATAGGCCGTTGAACATTTAGAGAACCCCTTGGAGAAGCCAACTTTAAGCTATTCTGCCACCAATAATGCTAACCCATGAGCACCTGATGAGGAATGATAATAGATAGAGAAGAAGTGTGCCATGATATCAAGTAAGGGCTGTGACTTAGATTATAAGCTACATAAAGAGGCGAACTAAAGAGAATAGACGGGCTAAAGAGACCGAGATCTACCCCGTAGCATAAGAAGTGTAAAGTTAGACTAGCTTTAGTAGCCTTTTCGGCTCGGCCGCCGTGCGTAAATAAATTGTGTGTCACCTGTACCACGAAATGTCAGCACCATGACGGCAATATTTATATGTCAGATTAGCCAGATCAAATGTGCTAACCTCATATTGGGTATGTCCAAGCGCCTTCGGCTTACGACTCCGCTGATGAAATTGCAAGCTGGCGCGCACTGCCTATAGCTTCAACACCTAAACGATCACCCGGTTTTTGCAGTGCCCGACTACTGCCAACCATAGTCAATACTATACAGTTTACAGCAAACTTGTACTGTATTTAACATACAAACTTCTACTGCTTCCGATATCCTCGCATCTAAGCGATGCCGCCGCCACCTCCAACACTGATGGCGTCGATAAGCGTCAACCACTACGCCAGTTTTCCAAGAAACGGTACCAATATCATCCCCATACATTTAAAAGAAGCTACAATCGATAGGAAGAGCCTAACACGGCAAGATATGTTTGAAAACTCGGGTGTAGTGGAGGAGTATTGCCATGGACAAACGCAATACAGTATTCAATGGGTTCGGGAAGTTATCCAGCGTTGTGTTGCTACCGAGAAAGCTATATGCAGCCATAAGGCTATCCTTAAAGGGGATATACAATCTTACGAAAGTTCAGCAGCGCCTACTATATGCCCGAGACTGGCGCCGCGTGCTTTGCTGTGATGAAAGCTATTGGATGGCGAGCCCAAGGTATCCAAAAAATGTCAAACATCGATGTGTCAATCAAAATGATCACCGCCCAAGTAACACAAAGTATGAGAAAGAATTATAAGCCGAACCCTGAGCTTCGAAAACAGTTCCATATGTAAACTGCTATACGCTACAACTTTGTATTGGCATTACCATATGACGTGGGCAATAAGAATAGCAAAACGAATACAAGCACCTGTATAAGTCACGTCCTCCCACAAATCAGTGGACGGATACTCTACTATAGCGGCATTTATATACTTTGGTAAGATTGCGATTCAGCTTATGCCTCTTGCAAAACTAGTGGATATGATAGTGTCAGGTTGTGATAGTTGATCAAAGACATTAAAAATGATAATCAAAGTGATTGTATTCCCTGTTTCTTCTGGAGCCGCGCCCGCGCGTCTCTTATAAATGGTCTATTACTTGTTACACTTCTAAAGCCTCTATTGTTCCAGTTTGGGCTGGGGACAGCCTTAGCGGCAAGCTCTGATTGGCCGTGCACAAAATCCTGGTGCTCTGATCCGCGCCCGAATTCTACGACTTCCACTGCCACTTATCTGACAGATAGACACCCATGACTTTCAACGTATACTCAGTCCATCTAGGTCATCAGACATGAGTGTCTTGGAGACATGGGTATGTTCAATACACAGCAAATTCTACATGCGTAGCTGTACAATGCAGTGTTACACGGGGTTTGGGTCTATACTGCTCTGGTCGGGTCCGCCACTATGGC